AAACAAAAACAAAACAAAACAAAGGCAACCTGTCCCAAATAGGAGCCTGGATATAAATTGAATCCAACGTGGGCTGTTTGATGGTAACCACGTGAGAGGTAAATATAAAAATCCATTAGAATATCGGATGGAGACAAGATTTTGTTTTTCACTCTTATATCCTCTAAACTTAATGAGTGATTAATATTTGTTGACTGAATTAAGACAAACCTCTCTCTAGTCAAGAAGTGGTAAAATAAAGGTTGATTAGGATGGGCAGAATTCAATGTAATAGCTCTTAGTAAAAGGAGTGGATGAATAGATGGCAAATTTGGGGATGGAGATATTGGACACAGGGTCCTTTGATGCTGTGGAAGAGTTTTTACTGTCCAGGCTTCTGCCAGCCCATGTGGTGCCTTTGTGAAGACTGGGAAAGGGTGCCCTTCCTCTGGACAGATGACACAGCCCTGTCCCAGAGCACACCCTCAGTGGGGGAAGCAAGGATAGGATGCCAGCCCCGCAGGTTTGGCCAGGTGCCACTGATTAGGGCTCAGTGGGCACAACTATGGTTTTGGTCCAGGTCAAAGACCTACCCAGGGCACCTAAGTCATCTGAGGCAGGACAGGTGTATACTCGGGACCAACTACTGTGCACACAAGTCCTCTCTCCACTGCTCAGATTTCACGTTTAAAAGGTATTTTTATCCCCATGGAAACTGGCCCGAAATTCACCTTTGCACTATTCATTCTATCCCCTCTCCAACCTAATTCAGCCCAGCCCAACAAGCATAGCACACCTGCTAAGAGATAAGAACCGAACAAAATAGGCTCAAACAGAGTTCCTGTTCTCTAGGAACTGTCAATCCAGCATGACAGATGACACACTCCCCACAAGGCTGGATGAGATGAGAGAGACGAAAGCCAGTCATGAACAGAGAAGAGGGCCGTGCCGCCCCGCTATGCAGGAGGCTGAGTGGCAGATTCCAAAGGCGGGGCTGGGGGTGTGGGCGCGGGATTGGAAAAGACCCGGGCGGAGCTTCCTCAGCCAAGACACAGAAACAAGAAGACGCAGGGTATGTTTGGAGCATGTGAGTCATCCTGCTTGGCTGGAACCCAAGAGCACACTGGGTTTAAGGTGGGAAAAGAACTGAAGGCCTGAAATGTCTCCCTGAGGAGTTTGGGCTGAATTTCTGAGGCAGCCCCAAGCCATTGAAGGTTCTGAGTGTTTTCCCAGAGTGAACATTTACTCGCTGAAAAGGACAAACAGTTATCAGGAATAACAGGAATAAGGGGCTTTTTCTGTGCAATGAGCTGGAATGCTAATTATAATGGATTTTTTTATTTCTTNGGGGGAAAAAAGGTGGGAGATGTTGCTTGGTGAAATTGAACTTTAATTAAATTATGATTCACACAAGCCCAGAAAGCGAAGTTTTTACCATTTATATGTAATTTCGTTCGGTAAAGTAGAAACACTTATTTTCTGTAGCTGGCTAAATATATGAAGCACACCTACTCTTGTTATCCTAAATTTTCACCTGTGCCTGAAGCTATGTGATAATGTAACCAGAGATCTCTTTGCCATCTTGGTGTGAGAAATAAGCACCTTTATTTTACACAGCATGCTGTGGACTCTCGGACCCCACCTGGCATCCAGTGCTACAAATGGTGACATCACAGCACTAAGCTGCTCATTTTCTCCAAGAGCTCAAACTGCATTCCTCCATGGGGAAATGATGTTTCTCTGACTTCGTAGTGAAGGATGCGGAAGTTACAACTTCTAAAGGGCAAATGACTCAGCGTTGAGTCACTGAGTCACGGGTCCCCTGGAGAAAGAATTCCAGACGCTCTGACTCTCTGGGTATAATTTAAGCCATTTGAATCTCAGGACCTGTATCTGTCAAGAAACCACGTGATCCTCTGCTGCAGCCTTACTCTGTTCCCATCTTACAGATGAAACAATTGATGCCCAGAAACATTAAATGATTTATCAAAGTCACGAGACTAGCAATTACCAGTGTTCTTTCATAACGTTTAGATGATGTTTTACCAAGCTCAGTGAATACACGGAAATGAGGAGTTCAGAATCCACACCAATATACAGCAAGTTTCATTTTGATGGCAGCTTATCCCCCAGCAAACTATACCATTATCTTACTGATCTCCAGTCTTCTTGGGGAAGGGGAGACACAGCATTACAACTACAAAATCACATCCACAGTTTTTAAGAGACCAAAGCCCCTCACGCAACTCTCTTCTTAACTTTCAGAACCTATTGATGGATGAGGTAGGCACATAATGTCTTTTGCAGACCAGAACTTGACGGAGATTGAAAGCTTCAGTCAGGAGAACCCAGGCCTCCGGGGTTGCCATCCAGGACACCAGCCAGATTTTGCTGTTAATTGGCTCCCATGCAGGCAGCTCTTTTAGCGACGGTTCTGTGGGTCCTCTGCGGCTCATCTTGATTTAAAGTGAAATGTTGTAAAGTACTTCTCAACCACTCAAAGCTTCCAGGGGTGCTCATGTTTAGGTGACTGGACAGAGAGGGAGGGAGGCTTCAAAACTGTTGTGCAGACATGAAACTAGATTATTCAGGCTCCTCAGATTCTGAAAATAATTCTCAGAAAGACAGTGACTGAGGAGTCTGATTTCAACCTAAAGAGACACACTCCCTTAGGCCATGTGGAATTGAAAAGAGTTTATGGGGAAAAAAATGCCTCTGTGGCCTTAAACATGCCGTCTCTGGGCTGACACCATAATAAAGAATGGAGCGCTGTTAAAATATACTGCACATTTTAATGACGCCACTAGCAGTAGGGAAAAAAAAAGTTGAGCTCAGAATAATTCTGGGAAGAAGGATTTTGCCAAGGAGATTTTAATGTCAAGAATGTATGTGAGGCTAAAAATAAGCAACTCACGAGCATTCCAGAGCTGTGGGTGGGGATGTATATATAATCCAATTAAATTATTCCATTTCCACTTATGGAAAAATCCAATGGTAAAAAATGGACTAGAAAACATTTTGTGGTATTTCACTTAGACTAGGCTTGTAAATACCGAACTCCAGACTTGTCAAAATAAGCCCCACCAAGCACTTCCTGGCCAAGGTGTTAGATAGGCGATGGCAGCCAGCAATACGCAAAAACGATAGAGAGCTTACAGAAACATCACGTCTAGAAAGAGCCAGAGGAATTCAGCGCCCCAGTAAAGAAGGGGCTCAGGGAAATCCAAGGGGAGAATGTCACTGAAGTGTGAGGAATGAACCCAGGGTGGCCCAAATGTTGAATGCAAACAGAGTGGCCTTCAGAGAGCTTCAAAGACACGTGAGACTTAGGTCCCAACTCTGTGACTCACAGACTGCAGCTCTGAGGCCTATGACATGTTAGCACTATTTCTTTTTCTATCAGAGAAAGTACCCCTTAATTTTGACCTTGCTCTGAAGGGCCAGCATTAGTGCTCTTTCCACAACTCGTTTGTTGATACAATGGGACTGTGAGGATGGCTGCTGCGAACACACCCCTCTGCAAACCCAGGCCGTCTGCACAGGAGATGTTAAGTCCCAGTGCCTGGAAATGCATTTGTTGGCATTTCAAGGACGAGTATCTTCTTGGCTACACTTACTGAACCTCCAATCCAACTCTGGGCTGGGTGCAGGGGAATCTAGGCCTTGGTAAGTCTTTTATTTACTTCTTAATTTGCAATGAGAAGACTCATGTACAACCATGCTTCTTTTAGTCCCCTCTGCTTGCCCAAGGTTGGGCCCTGG